CCTGCACAGCCTCACACTTGTCACCACTTAGAATAGCTGCCTGCACAGCTGCACCATAAGCCACAGCTTCATCCGGATTAATAGATTTGTTCAACTCCTTCCCGTTGAAGAAGTCCTGCAACAGCTTCTGCACCTTAGGGATACGAGTGGAACCACCAACCAACACTATTTCGTGAATCTGGGCCTTATCCATCTTAGCATCTCGCAAAGCCTTCTCAACAGGACCCAATGTACCACGGAATAGATCGGCATTCAACTCCTCAAATCGTGCACGAGTAATCGACGTGTAAAAATCAATACCATCACACAACGAGTCAATCTCCAGATTCGTTTGGGTGCTCGAACTCAATGTACGTTTCGCACGTTCACATGCTGTTCTCAGGCGACGCAATGCACGCTTATTGTCACGAATGTCTTTACTAAATTTCTTCTGGAACTCTTTCACAAAGTGATCCACCAGACGATTGTCAAAATCTTCACCTCCCAAGTGTGTATCACCAGCAGTAGACTTCACCTCGAATATACCATCCTCAATTGTCAAGATGGACACATCAAATGTACCACCACCCAAATCAAATATCAACACATTACGTTCACCACCAACCTTCTTGTCTAAACCATAGGCAATTGCCGCAGCTGTAGGCTCATTAATGATTCTCAACACATTAAGACCAGCTATAGCACCTGCATCTTTCGTTGCTTGACGTTGACTGTCATTGAAGTAAGCAGGAACTGTTATAACCGCGTCACTTACTGTCCTGCCCAAATAACTTTCAGCAACCTCCTTCATTTTCGTCAACACCATCGACGAAATCTCCTCCGCGGAGAACAACTTCTTCTCACCCTTATACTCAACACGAATTTTCAGCTTACCACCGACTTGAACCACCTCAAATGGCCAATGCTTCATATCACTCTGAACTGATGGATCATCGAAACGACGACCGATTAGCCGCTTCGCATCAAACACTGTATTTGTTGGATTAATAGCCACTTGGTTCTTCGCTCCATCACCAATTAAACGCTCAGCATCTGTGAACGCCACATAACTCGGTGTCGTTCTGTTACCCTGATCATTGGCAATTATCTCCACTTTGCCATGCTGGAAAACACCAACACACGAATATGTTGTACCAAGATCGATCCCAATGGCGTTAGGCATTTCGAGATACGTTAAAACGAACAAACACCGGTAATCGAATCACTCAATTAATACCACTGCAAGCTGTGCACCTAGCTTAAATACTTTACACGTAGAACATACTAGAAGTTTCGATGACCTTCGATAGAAAACAATCGACCAATGACCTGTCGACAAGTATTCACAATGGGCCAATCACACTCAACCACCAGACTACTGACCAAATACTCACAAACAAGATGCTTTCCTAGTCAAAATTTCACTCATAGCCTCCCTAAGTACAATGCAATGCAGGGTGCCTAATACAAACGCAATTGTCTGGCCAGTGTGGACAAATGGATAAAATCTAAGACGTGCACTCATCCCATTCACCCATTCACAACCTCAAACACAAAAAACATTCCAATATCGAGTTTGACTACTGACACAATTATAAGTAGTTGAACTAACACGTGTGATATTTAGGGGTCGGGTATAGTTCAGTTCATACTGGTTAGTCACCGAGCTGTAACTATGCCCGGTTGTACATCATTATGTCATGTTTGCCTACTTCTTAATGCTGATCCAATTCCATCTGAACAGTTGCAATGTGGCTACTTGTTCGAGTGTTCGATAGAATTCGATCATCATTCAGAATTAGATAAACATGGGATCGGTTACCACTCTGTGATGAACCAGTGTAAATGTCTCAGTCCTACAGGAGGTCGGTGACATGACCGTTATAGTTGACTGAATTATCGTTGATTGTCGAGGTGACTAGAAAGACTCATGTAAGAAGTCAAAAGACTGATTGACAGATGAAGAATTGTTTCATAACCAAACCTCGTGCTGGGAATCCTATGTTGTACCAAAATATAATATTGAATAATAATAACAATAATAGTAATAATAATAATAATAATTATTATTATTATTATCATTATTACTATTATTATTACTATTAACAACTGGATTAACACAACATGTCAATACATTTATTTTCAGGTCGACTCACTTTATGATAATCAACAGATAGAATTCCAATAAACCACAACTCAGTCTCCTCACGACTGATTAATCAATAGAATGTCAGGAGGAGAAACTCTACTGGCATCGTAAGGATAAAAATGTTGCAATGGACAAAAGTAATCGGTGTGCTAAATCATATGTTTGAATCAGACATAACAGTCGGTAGAAGCCCGAATTGCTCCATGCTAGCACCTCTGACTACGACACTGATTGACGTGGGTTCGAAGTCCACACAGGACGTCCATTCCTCTCAAGATTCCAGGCACACCTTACTAACGAGTGCCAGCGAGCACGAAACCTGGGTCTACAGCTTCTTGTCGATTACCTCCGACCAACTAACATGGTACAATTCGGTCACTAACATCAGATCAAACCACGATGAAAACCTACTCCAATATAAATATTTTATCCCATGCAACAAGTCAAGGAAAACAACGAAAATGAATGACACACTTTAGGAAATGTTATGAAAACTTTCAGGTTTAAACTATCATGAAGTATATAAGTAGCTTGAGACAATGCTTCGATCGTGCCACTCATTCATTAGCTAACTAGGACAGATAGTGAGGTTCAAAATTATTCTACAAAGGACACTCACAAGTTCAGTGATGTCAGGTTGTGCTCGCATTTTTCACTGATTCACACAATTTCCCAATTACTTAGTATACGCCTTGATATGCTCACTCGCAATTCTAAAACTGAAGTCACATAATTCTCAGTTGTAAATCGTTGCTGAACTCCTAGGCTAGGCGCAACACGACTTAGAAAATCCTAGGCTCAAGAGCTGACGAAGCGCACACATTTAACTATCATGATGACTTTGAATAAAGCCAGAACTATAAGGCCTACAGGACACAGTCAACCAACTTCACCCTACCACTTCTTCTCATCCACTAATAATCCCGTACCCTAGTTACTTTTATCAATATACTTCAACTCCCACTCACTACTCTCTTTCTCTACACCACCACAACGAAATTAGCAATGTTTCCAAAACACTGTTTCACACCATTCTCTCTGAATTGATCAAACAATAATGGTTTGGTGGCTTATTTATTTATTTGAACACATAATATTGGTACAAGAGTGCGCCAAATATATATTCGCCACACAAAACATTGAGAATTTAAACAGAAGGGAAAAACGGTAAGGAGCGTAAAAAAAACAAGAGAATAATAACGAAGAGATTGGTGTAAGGTAGTGTAGTAGTAATAATAACAATAATAATAGTAATAATAATAATAATAATAATAATAGTAATAATGGGGGAACGGAAAGGTACAATCAGAAGAAGTCTTTCAGTTTAGGAAGATCCAATCACTTTTTACGAAGAAAGTAAAAGAAGGTTACAGCAGGATCGCCACTGGCTTCTATTCTGAGCCATATCTGATAACGTCTCTAGCCACTGTGTTGCACCATCTCTCGGACCCCAACCAGGGAGTCGTGAACGACCAACACAAGCCAGCCCTTCGCAGCCTTCTTTCATACCACGACACCATGTCATACACTGACCACCTCTCCGCTTTTTCCAACCAGTCCCAGAGTCGGCAAATAATCCACGACGTGGAATTCTCTAATATTAAATGTTGTGATCCCAGGCTGATTCTAGTTCACGGGAAGCGCTCAATTAAAAACACGAATTCATCTCATCCTGAAAGTCTAGCCTTGCCCACAGGAAGTTTCGTTGACTCACTGGAAACTCACCTAGTTGCGTCAATGAGATATGACTGCACCATTCACATCTTGCACTAGTTGACTGAATTGAAATCAGCATAAAAATACCAGCCCAATATGCTAGCTTACAAACATCCTCATCTATACACATGTACCATCTTACCCCTTCCAGTTGTTGCGTACACCAATGCCACTTCTACTTCAGCCACATATACGCATCTCCAAACAACCCCACACCTCGTTTTGCAAAATTCAAATACAACCAATCTAATCACCACCTACAAGTCTGAACACATACCTACCAATTACAAAGTAAAAGGTTTATAACGTCGATGACTAGACATAGCTTATAATAAATTCACTTCCATACATACGATTGCCCAACTGACCGACCATCCGTTCTTCGACGCACTGAGGTCAACTGACTCCATGAAGCATAGGCACTTCCAACAATTAAGTAAACGCTGATTACATTCCACCAACCTACATATCACAATGTAGAATACTATGCGAAACACGTGCATTGTTATCCCTACTTATTTTACAACTCGTCTATTGTTGGGCAAGGCAGTAAATAACTAACTAGTAATTGGAGACCGTTCACACTAATCAACTAAACACTTACCATCTCACAAGAAATCATCCCACTCAACTGGGTCGTTAGTCAAGTTCTCGAGCAAATGCACTTACGGACCAAAAGTACGAGTCGCCTGTCTTCAACAACACTCGACGAAAATAACTTTATCACTCCACTCACCAACTACACCAAAATCCCCATCGGAACATCTAGTCACACAAACTACTCACTCGGTCTTCTCGACGCGTACGCAACAACGCTCCACAACTACGCCGGTCTAATAAACTAGGAACACACGACGTGCCACCTAAATCGCAACCAATAGTCCTGAGGTGCAAACGCCACGTTGCACACATACGGATTCGCAACACTCAACTTAACAAGCCTTTCGTAACATAGAGGGCAGGACGAGATAGAGAGCGATCACTATCCTACACTGAGCGACCAGACATTAGACAACGATATTCACTACTCGCCAGTAATGAAACCCTGACCCTGTATCAAACAACCAATAACTAATAAAAATCAAAAGACAAAATTCATTACAGATAAAATCTGAATTCATTCAAGTACCAAATAATTAATCACAACAATTACAGGTTAGTCGACCTCCTCAATCGTTGGTCCCTTACCACTTCCACCACCAGCACCACCTGTTTCATGCATGCCTCCTGGCATACCACCAGCCTGGTACACCTTCGTAATTATCGGCGCACAGACCTTCTCCAACTCCTCCCGCTTACTTTCATACTCATGCTTCTCCGCCAATTGATTAACGTCCAACCAACCAATTGTATCCTCACACTTACTTAATATCACTTGACGATCACTTTCAGATATCTTTTCTTTAAGCTCACCCTCCACTTGCTGTTTCATTGTGTACACATAACTCTCAAGCGAGTTCTTCGCAGAAACACGATCTCTCTGCTTCTCATCCTCAGCCTTGTACTTGTCCGCATCGGCTACCATTCGTTCAATCTCCTCCTTCGTCAAACGACCCTTGTCATTTGTAATCGTTATCTTGTTCTGCTTCCCTGTACCCTTGTCAACAGCAGATACGTTCAGAATACCGTTCGCGTCTATATCAAACGTCACCTCAATCTGGGGAGTACCACGAGGAGCAGGTGGGATACCTGAGAGTTCGAACTTGCCAAGCAGATTGTTGTCCTTCGTCAGAGCACGCTCACCCTCAAACACCTGGATAAGCACACCAGGCTGGTTGTCCGAGTACGTTGTGAACGTTTGAGTCTGCTTCGTCGGAATTGTCGTATTACGCTTAATCAGAGCCGTCATTACACCACCAGCCGTTTCAAGACCCAGTGACAATGGAGCCACGTCAAGCAACAGCAAGTCCTGCACAGCCTCACACTTGTCACCACTTAGAATAGCTGCCTGCACAGCTGCACCATAAGCCACAGCTTCATCCGGATTAATAGATTTGTTCAACTCCTTCCCGTTGAAGAAGTCCTGCAACAGCTTCTGCACCTTAGGGATACGAGTGGAACCACCAACCAACACTATTTCGTGAATCTGGGCCTTATCCATCTTAGCATCTCGCAAAGCCTTCTCAACAGGACCCAATGTACCACGGAATAGATCGGCATTCAACTCCTCAAATCGTGCACGAGTAATCGACGTGTAAAAATCAATACCATCACACAACGAGTCAATCTCCAGATTCGTTTGGGTGCTCGAACTCAATGTACGTTTCGCACGTTCACATGCTGTTCTCAGGCGACGCAATGCACGCTTATTGTCACGAATGTCTTTACTAAATTTCTTCTGGAACTCTTTCACAAAGTGATCCACCAGACGATTGTCAAAATCTTCACCTCCCAAGTGTGTATCACCAGCAGTAGACTTCACCTCGAATATACCATCCTCAATTGTCAAGATGGACACATCAAATGTACCACCACCCAAATCAAATATCAACACATTACGTTCACCACCAACCTTCTTGTCTAAACCATAGGCAATTGCCGCAGCTGTAGGCTCATTAATGATTCTCAACACATTAAGACCAGCTATAGCACCTGCATCTTTCGTTGCTTGACGTTGACTGTCATTGAAGTAAGCAGGAACTGTTATAACCGCGTCACTTACTGTCCTGCCCAAATAACTTTCAGCAACCTCCTTCATTTTCGTCAACACCATCGACGAAATCTCCTCCGCGGAGAACAACTTTTTCTCACCCTTATACTCAACACGAATTTTCAGCTTACCACCGACTTGAACCACCTCAAATGGCCAATGCTTCATATCACTCTGAACTGATGGATCATCGAAACGACGACCGATTAGCCGCTTCGCATCAAACACTGTATTTGTTGGATTAATAGCCACTTGGTTCTTCGCTCCATCACCAATTAAACGCTCAGCATCTGTGAACGCCACATAACTCGGTGTCGTTCTGTTACCCTGATCATTGGCAATTATCTCCACTTTGCCATGCTGGAAAACACCAACACACGAATATGTTGTACCAAGATCGATCCCAATGGCGTTAGGCACTTCAAGATACGTTAAAACGAACAAACACCGGTAATCGAATCACTCAATTAATACCACTGCAAGCTGTGCACCTAGCTTAAATACTTTACACGTAGAACATACTAGAAGTTTCGATGACCTTCGATAGAAAACAATCGACCAATGACCTGTCGACAAGTATTCACAATGGGCCAATCACACTCAACCACCAGACTACTGACCAAATACTCACAAACAAGATGCTTTCCTAGTCAAAATTTCACTCATAGCCTCCCTAAGTACAATGCAATGCAGGGTGCCTAATACAAACGCAATTGTCTGGCCAGTGTGGACAAATGGATAAAATCTAAGACGTGCACCCATCCCATTCACCCATTCACAACCTCAAACGCAAAAAACATTCCAATATCGAGTTTGACTACTGACACAATTATAAGTAGTTGAACTAACACGTGTGATATTTAGGGGTCGGGTATAGTTCAGTTCATACTGGTTAGTCACCGAGCTGTAACTATGCCCGGTTGTACATCATTATGTCATGTTTGCCTACTTCTTAATGCTGATCCAATTCCATCTGAACAGTTGCAATGTGGCTACTTGTTCGAGTGTTCGATAGAATTCGATCATCATTCAGAATTAGATAAACATGGGATCGGTTACCACTCTGTGATGAACCAGTGTAAATGTCTCAGTCCTACAGGAGGTCGGTGACATGACCGTTATAGTTGACTGAATTATCGTTGATTGTCGAAGTGACTAGAAAGACTCATGTAAGAAGTCAAAAGACTGATTGACAGATGAAGAATTGTTTCATAACCAAACCTCGTGCTGGGAATCCTATGTTGTACCAAAATATAATATTGAATAATAATAACAATAATAGTAATAATAATAATAATTATTATTATTATTATCATTATTACTATTATTATTACTATTAACAACTGGATTAACACAACATGTCAATACATTTATTTTCAGGTCGACTCACTTTATGATAATCAACAGATAGAATTCCAATAAACCACAACTCAGTCTCCTCACAACTGATTAATCAATAGAATGTCAGGAGGAGAAACTCTACTGGCATCGTAAGGATAAAAATGTTGCAATGAACAAAAGTAATCGGTGTGCTAAATCATATGCTTGAATCAGACATAACAGTCGGTAGAAGCCCGAATTGCTCCATGCTAGCACCTCTGACTACGACACTGATTGACGTGGGTTCGAAGTCCACACAGGACGTCCATTCCTCTCAAGATTCCAGGCACACCTTACTAACGAGTGCCAGCGAGCACGAAACCTGGGTCTACAGCTTCTTGTCGATTACCTCCGACCAACTAACATGGTACAATTCGGTCACTAACATCAGATCAAACCACGATGAAAACCTACTCCAATATAAATATTTTATCCCATGCAACAAGTCAAGGAAAACAACGAAAATGAATGACACACTTTAGGAAATGTTATGAAAACTTTCAGGTTTAAACTATCATGAAGTATATAAGTAGCTTGAGACAATGCTTCGATCGTGCCACTCATTCATTAGCTAACTAGGACAGATAGTGAGGTTCAAAATTATTCTACAAAGGACACTCACAAGTTCAGTGATGTCAGGTTGTGCTCGCATTTTTCACTGATTCACACAATTTCCCAATTACTTAGTATACGCCTTGATATGCTCACTCGCAATTCTAAAACTGAAGTCACATAATTCTCAGTTGTAAATCGTTGCTGAACTCCTAGGCTAGGCGCAACACGACTTAGAAAATCCTAGGCTCAAGAGCTGACGAAGCGCACACATTTAACTATCATGATGACTTTGAATAAAGCCAGAACTATAAGGCCTACAGGACACAGTCAACCAACTTCACCCTACCACTTCTTCTCATCCACTAATAATCCCGTACCCTAGTTACTTTTATCAATATACTTCAACTCCCACTCACTACTCTCTTTCTCTACACCACCACAACGAAATTAGCAATGTTTCCAAAACACTGTTTCACACCATTCTCTCTGAATTGATCAAACAATAATGGTTTGGTGGCTTATTTATTTATTTGAACACATAATATTGGTACAAGAGTGCGCCAAATATATATTCGCCACACAAAACATTGAGAATTTAAACAGAAGGGAAAAACGGTAAGGAGCGTAAAAAAAACAAGAGAATAATAACGAAGAGATTGGTGTAAGGTAGTGTAGTAGTAATAATAACAATAATAATAGTAATAATAATAATAATAATAATAATAGTAATAATGGGGGAACGGAAAGGTACAATCAGAAGAAGTCTTTCAGTTTAGGAAGATCCAATCACTTTTTACGAAGAAAGTAAAAGAAGGTTACAGCAGGATCGCCACTGGCTTCTATTCTGAGCCATATCTGATAACGTCTCTAGCCACTGTGTTGCACCATCTCTCGGACCCCAACCAGGGAGTCGTGAACGACCAACACAAGCCAGCCCTTCGCAGCCTTCTTTCATACCACGACACCATGTCATACACTGACCACCTCTCCGCTTTTTCCAACCAGTCCCAGAGTCGGCAAATAATCCACGACGTGGAATTCTCTAATATTAAATGTTGTGATTCCAGGCTGATTCTAGTTCACGGGAAGCGCTCAATTAAAAACACGAATTCATCTCATCCTGAAAGTCTGGCCTTGCCCACAGGAAGTTTCGTTGACTCACTGGAAACTCACCTAGTTGCGTCAATGAGATATGACTGCACCATTCACATCTTGCACTAGTTGACTGAATTGAAATCAGCATAAAAATACCAGCCCAATATGCTAGCTTACAAACATCCTCATCTATACACATGTACCATCTTACCCCTTCCAGTTGTTGCGTACACCAATGCCACTTCTACTTCAGCCACATATACGCATCTCCAAACAACCCCACACCTCGTTTTGCAAAATTCAAATACAACCAATCTAATCACCACCTACAAGTCTGAACACATACCTACCAATTACAAAGTAAAAGGTTTATAACGTCGATGACTAGACATAGCTTATAATAAATTCACTTCCATACATACGATTGCCCAACTGACCGACCATCCGTTCTTCGACGCACTGAGGTCAACTGACTCCATGAAGCATAGGCACTTCCAACAATTAAGTAAACGCTGATTACATTCCACCAACCTACATATCACAATGTAGAATACTATGCGAAACACGTGCATTGTTATCCCTACTTATTTTACAACTCGTCTATTGTTGGGCAAGGCAGTAAATAACTAACTAGTAATTGGAGACCGTTCACACTAATCAACTAAACACTTACCATCTCACAAGAAATCATCCCACTCAACTGGGTCGTTAGTCAAGTTCTCGAGCAAATGCACTTACGGACCAAAAGTACGAGTCGCCTGTCTTCAACAACACTCGACGAAAATAACTTTATCACTCCACTCACCAACTACACCAAAATCCCCATCGGAACATCTAGTCACACAAACTACTCACTCGGTCTTCTCGACGCGTACGCAACAACGCTCCACAACTACGCCGGTCTAATAAACTAGGAACACACGACGTGCCACCTAAATCGCAACCAATAGTCCTGAGGTGCAAACGCCACGTTGCACACATACGGATTCGCAACACTCAACTTAACAAGCCTTTCGTAACATAGAGGGCAGGACGAGATAGAGAGCGATCACTATCCTACACTGAGCGACCAGACATTAGACAACGATATTCACTACTCGCCAGTAATGAAACCCTGACCCTGTATCAAACAACCAATAACTAATAAAAATCAAAAGACAAAATTCATTACAGATAAAATCTGAATTCATTCAAGTACCAAATAATTAATCACAACAATTACAGGTTAGTCGACCTCCTCAATCGTTGGTCCCTTACCACTTCCACCACCAGCACCACCTGTTTCATGCATGCCTCCTGGCATACCACCAGCCTGGTACACCTTCGTAATTATCGGCGCACAGACCTTCTCCAACTCCTCCCGCTTACTTTCATACTCATGCTTCTCCGCCAATTGATTAACGTCCAACCAACCAATTGTATCCTCACACTTACTTAATATCACTTGACGATCACTTTCAGATATCTTTTCTTTAAGCTCACCCTCCACTTGCTGTTTCATTGTGTACACATAACTCTCAAGCGAGTTCTTCGCAGAAACACGATCTCTCTGCTTCTCATCCTCAGCCTTGTACTTGTCCGCATCGGCTACCATTCGTTCAATCTCCTCCTTCGTCAAACGACCCTTGTCATTTGTAATCGTTATCTTGTTCTGCTTCCCTGTACCCTTGTCAACAGCAGATACGTTCAGAATACCGTTCGCGTCTATATCAAACGTCACCTCAATCTGGGGAGTACCACGAGGAGCAGGTGGGATACCTGAGAGTTCGAACTTGCCAAGCAGATTGTTGTCCTTCGTCAGAGCACGCTCACCCTCAAACACCTGGATAAGCACACCAGGCTGGTTGTCCGAGTACGTTGTGAACGTTTGAGTCTGCTTCGTCGGAATTGTCGTATTACGCTTAATCAGAGCCGTCATTACACCACCAGCCGTTTCAAGACCCAGTGACAATGGAGCCACGTCAAGCAACAGCAAGTCCTGCACAGCCTCACACTTGTCACCACTTAGAATAGCTGCCTGCACAGCTGCACCATAAGCCACAGCTTCATCCGGATTAATAGATTTGTTCAACTCCTTCCCGTTGAAGAAGTCCTGCAACAGCTTCTGCACCTTAGGGATACGAGTGGAACCACCAACCAACACTATTTCGTGAATCTGGGCCTTATCCATCTTAGCATCTCGCAAAGCCTTCTCAACAGGACCCAATGTACCACGGAATAGATCGGCATTCAACTCCTCAAATCGTGCACGAGTAATCGACGTGTAAAAATCAATACCATCACACAACGAGTCAATCTCCAGATTCGTTTGGGTGCTCGAACTCAATGTACGTTTCGCACGTTCACATGCTGTTCTCAGGCGACGCAATGCACGCTTATTGTCACGAATGTCTTTACTAAATTTCTTCTGGAACTCTTTCACAAAGTGATCCACCAGACGATTGTCAAAATCTTCACCTCCCAAGTGTGTATCACCAGCAGTAGACTTCACCTCGAATATACCATCCTCAATTGTCAAGATGGACACATCAAATGTACCACCACCCAAATCAAATATCAACACATTACGTTCACCACCAACCTTCTTGTCTAAACCATAGGCAATTGCCGCAGCTGTAGGCTCATTAATGATTCTCAACACATTAAGACCAGCTATAGCACCTGCATCTTTCGTTGCTTGACGTTGACTGTCATTGAAGTAAGCAGGAACTGTTATAACCGCGTCACTTACTGTCCTGCCCAAATAACTTTCAGCAACCTCCTTCATTTTCGTCAACACCATCGACGAAATCTCCTCCGCGGAGAACAACTTTTTCTCACCCTTATACTCAACACGAATTTTCAGCTTACCACCGACTTGAACCACCTCAAATGGCCAATGCTTCATATCACTCTGAACTGATGGATCATCGAAACGACGACCGATTAGCCGCTTCGCATCAAACACTGTATTTGTTGGATTAATAGCCACTTGGTTCTTTGCTCCATCACCAATTAAACGCTCAGCATCTGTGAACGCCACATAACTCGGTGTCGTTCTGTTACCCTGATCATTGGCAATTATCTCCACTTTGCCATGCTGGAAAACACCAACACACGAATATGTTGTACCAAGATCGATCCCAATGGCGTTAGGCATTTCGAGATACGTTAAAACGAACAAACACCGGTAATCGAATCACTCAATTAATACCACTGCAAGCTGTGCACCTAGCTTAAATACTTTACACGTAGAACATACTAGAAGTTTCGATGACCTTCGATAGAAAACAATCGACCAATGACCTGTCGACAAGTATTCACAATGGGCCAATCACACTCAACCACCAGACTACTGACCAAATACTCACAAACAAGATGCTTTCCTAGTCAAAATTTCACTCATAGCCTCCCTAAGTACAATGCAATGCAGGGTGCCTAATACAAACGCAATTGTCTGGCCAGTGTGGACAAATGGATAAAATCTAAGACGTGCACCCATCCCATTCACCCATTCACAACCTCAAACGCAAAAAACATTCCAATATCGAGTTTGACTACTGACACAATTATAAGTAGTTGAACTAACACGTGTGATATTTAGGGGTCGGGTATAGTTCAGTTCATACTGGTTAGTCACCGAGCTGTAACTATGCCCGGTTGTACATCATTATGTCATGTTTGCCTACTTCTTAATGCTGATCCAATTCCATCTGAACAGTTGCAATGTGGCTACTTGTTCGAGTGTTCGATAGAATTCGATCATCATTCAGAATTAGATAAACATGGGATCGGTTACCACTCTGTGATGAACCAGTGTAAATGTCTCAGTCCTACAGGAGGTCGGTGACATGACCGTTATAGTTGACTGAATTATCGTTGATTGTCGAGGTGACTAGAAAGACTCATGTAAGAAGTCAAAAGACTGATTGACAGATGAAGAATTGTTTCATAACCAAACCTCGTGCTGGGAATCCTATGTTGTACCAAAATATAATATTGAATAATAATAACAATAATAGTAATAATAATAATAATTATTATTATTATTATCATTATTACTATTATTATTACTATTAACAACTGGATTAACACAACATGTCAATACATTTATTTTCAGGTCGACTCACTTTATGATAATCAACAGATAGAATTCCAATAAACCACAACTCAGTCTCCTCACAACTGATTAATCAATAGAATGTCAGGAGGAGAAACTCTACTGGCATCGTAAGGATAAAAATGTTGCAATGAACAAAAGTAATCGGTGTGCTAAATCATATGCTTGAATCAGACATAACAGTCGGTAGAAGCCCGAATTGCTCCATGCTAGCACCTCTGACTACGACACTGATTGACGTGGGTTCGAAGTCCACACAGGACGTCCATTCCTCTCAAGATTCCAGGCACACCTTACTAACGAGTGCCAGCGAGCACGAAACCTGGGTCTACAGCTTCTTGTCGATTACCTCCGACCAACTAACATGGTACAATTCGGTCACTAACATCAGATCAAACCACGATGAAAACCTACTCCAATATAAATATTTTATCCCATGCAACAAGTCAAGGAAAACAACGAAAATGAATGACACACTTTAGGAAATGTTATGAAAACTTTCAGGTTTAAACTATCATGAAGTATATAAGTAGCTTGAGACAATGCTTCGATCGTGCCACTCATTCATTAGCTAACTAGGACAGATAGTGAGGTTCAAAATTATTCTACAAAGGACACTCACAAGTTCAGTGATGTCAGGTTGTGCTCGCATTTTTCACTGATTCACACAATTTCCCAATTACTTAGTATACGCCTTGATATGCTCACTCGCAATTCTAAAACTGAAGTCACATAATTCTCAGTTGTAAATCGTTGCTGAACTCCTAGGCTAGGCGCAACACGACTTAGAAAATCCTAGGCTCAAGAGCTGACGAAGCGCACACATTTAACTATCATGATGACTTTGAATAAAGCCAGAACTATAAGGCCTACAGGACACAGTCAACCAACTTCACCCTACCACTTCTTCTCATCCACTAATAATCCCGTACCCTAGTTACTTTTATCAATATACTTCAACTCCCACTCACTACTCTCTTTCTCTACACCACCACAACGAAATTAGCAATGTTTCCAAAACACTGTTTCACACCATTCTCTCTGAATTGATCAAACAATAATGGTTTGGTGGCTTATTTATTTATTTGAACACATAATATTGGTACAAGAGTGCGCCAAATATATATTCGCCACACAAAACATTGAGAATTTAAACAGAAGGGAAAAACGGTAAGGAGCGTAAAAAAAACAAGAGAATAATAACGAAGAGATTGGTGTAAGGTAGTGTAGTAGTAATAATAACAATAATAATAGTAATAATAATAATAATAATAATAATAGTAATAATGGGGGAACGGAAAGGTACAATCAGAAGAAGTCTTTCAGTTTAGGAAGATCCAATCACTTTTTACGAAGAAAGTAAAAGAAGGTTACAGCAGGATCGCCACTGGCTTCTATTCTGAGCCATATCTGATAACGTCTCTAGCCACTGTGTTGCACCATCTCTCGGACCCCAACCAGGGAGTCGTGAACGACCAACACAAGCCAGCCCTTCGCAGCCTTCTTTCATACCACGACACCATGTCATACACTGACCACCTCTCCGCTTTTTCCAACCAGTCCCAGAGTCGGCAAATAATCCACGACGTGGAATTCTCTAATATTAAATGTTGTGATTCCAGGCTGATTCTAGTTCACGGGAAGCGCTCAATTAAAAACACGAATTCATCTCATCCTGAAAGTCTAGCCTTGCCCACAGGAAGTTTCGTTGACTCACTGGAAACTCACCTAGTTGCGTCAATGAGATATGACTGCACCATTCACATCTTGCACTAGTTGACTGAATTGAAATCAGCATAAAAATACCAGCCCAATATGCTAGCTTACAAACATCCTCATCTATACACATGTACCATCTTACCCCTTCCAGTTGTTGCGTACACCAATGCCACTTCTACTTCAGCCACATATACGCATCTCCAAACAACCCCACACCTCGTTTTGCAAAATTCAAATACAACCAATCTAATCACCACCTACAAGTCTGAACACATACCTACCAATTACAAAGTAAAAGGTTTATAACGTCGATGACTAGACATAGCTTATAATAAATTCACTTCCATACATACGATTGCCCAACTGACCGACCATCCGTTCTTCGACGCACTGAGGTCAACTGACTCCATGAAGCATAGGCACTTCCAACAATTAAGTAAACGCTGATTACATTCCACCAACCTACATATCACAATGTAGAATACTATGCGAAACACGTGCATTGTTATCCCTACTTATTTTACAACTCGTCTATTGTTGGGCAAGGCAGTAAATAACTAACTAGTAATTGGAGACCGTTCACACTAATCAACTAAACACTTACCATCTCACAAGAAATCATCCCACTCAACTGGGTCGTTAGTCAAGTTCTCGAGCAAATGCACTTACGGACCAAAAGTACGAGTCGCCTGTCTTCAACAACACTCGACGAAAATAACTTTATCACTCCACTCACCAAAATCCCCATCGGAACATCTAGTCACACAAACTACTCACTCGGTCTTCTCGACGCGTACGCAACAACGCTCCACAACTACGCCGGTCTAATAAACTAGGAACACACGACGTGCCACCTAAATCGCAACCAATAGTCCTGAGGTGCAAACGCCACGTTGCACACATACGGATTCGCAACACTCAACTTAACAAGCCTTTCGTAACATAGAGGGCAGGACGAGATAGAGAGCGATCACTATCCTACACTGAGCGACCAGACATTAGACAACGATATTCACTACTCGCCAGTAATGAAACCCTGACCCTGTATCAAACAACCAATAACTAATAAAAATCAAAAGACAAAATTCATTACAGATAAAATCTGAATTCATTCAAGTACCAAATAATTAATCACAACAATTACAGGTTAGTCGACCTCCTCAATCGTTGGTCCCTTACCACTTCCACCACCAGCACCACCTGTTTCATGCATGCCTCCTGGCATACCACCAGCCTGGTACACCTTCGTAATTATCGGCGCACAGACCTTCTCCAACTCCTCCCGCTTACTTTCATACTCATGCTTCTCCGCCAATTGATTAACGTCCAACCAACCAATTGTATCCTCACACTTACTTAATATCACTTGACGATCACTTTCAGATATCTTTTCTTTAAGCTCACCCTCCACTTGCTGTTTCATTGTGTACACATAACTCTCAAGCGAGTTCTTCGCAGAAACACGATCTCTCTGCTTCTCATCCTCAGCCTTGTACTTGTCCGCATCGGCTACCATTCGTTCAATCTCCTCCTTCGTCAAACGACCCTTGTCATTTGTAATCGTTATCTTGTTCTGCTTCCCTGTACCCTTGTCAACAGCAGATACGTTCAGAATACCGTTCGCGTCTATATCAAACGTCACCTCAATCTGGGGAGTACCACGAGGAGCAGGTGGGATACCTGAGAGTTCGAACTTGCCAAGCAGATTGTTGTCCTTCGTCAGAGCACGCTCACCCTCAAACACCTGGATAAGCACACCAGGCTGGTTGTCCGAGTACGTTGTGAACGTTTGAGTCTGCTTCGTCGGAATTGTCGTATTACGCTTAATCAGAGCCGTCATTACACCACCAGCCGTTTCAAGACCCAGTGACAATGGAGCCACGTCAAGCAACAGCAAGTCCTGCACAGCCTCACACTTGTCACCACTTAGAATAGCTGCCTGCACAGCTGCACCATAAGCCACAGCTTCATCCGGATTAATAGATTTGTTCAACTCCTTCCCGTTGAAGAAGTCCTGCAACAGCTTCTGCACCTTAGGGATACGAGTGGAACCACCAACCAACACTATTTCGTGAATCTGGGCCTTATCCATCTTAGCATCTCGCAAAGCCTTCTCAACAGGACCCAATGTACCACGGAATAGATCGGCATTCAACTCCTCAAATCGTGCACGAGTAATCGACGTGTAAAAATCAATACCATCACACAACGAGTCAATCTCCAGATTCGTTTGGGTGCTCGAACTCAATGTACGTTTCGCACGTTCACATGCTGTTCTCAGGCGACGCAATGCACGCTTATTGTCACGAATGTCTTTACTAAATTTCTTCTGGAACTCTTTCACAAAGTGATCCACCAGACGATTGTCAAAATC